CAAGGCAGGCAAGGCAGGCAAGGCAGGCAATGCACAGCGCCAGGCAGCGTCCGGCCATGTCAGCTCGGCGCTTCCGGAGTAGCGTTGCTGTGAAAGATAAACTAGGCTTGATGGGGAGCGAAATTCCCAAATTGAAATTCCATCCGGTCGGCTTCCGTCGGCTCGCAGATCGTGCCGATCGAATCACTTGATCCGATGCCGAGCAAGATCTGCGCGATGGGCCGAGTCACGATTCAGATAGCGCCACGACGTTCTTATTGATACATTGCCAGCCTATAGCAGTGTCCAGCGCTGAACCGATGCTGCAACCACCAGCCCTCGGTCGAACTGACATTGTTCTGCATGAATGGCTCCACGACACGGCCAGGCTGCTTGCTCGCACCGTGCTCGAACCCATATGCAATCTTGTGGCTGCGATGCTGCCCCGTCTATATATTTACGGCTCGATGCAAGGAACAGGCAGGATCGGGCAAAAGTGAAAGCGGAAAGGGGGGTTGATCGACCACGGCTGCTGGAGACGAGCGCAATCACATCCACCAGCTGCTATCGAGCGAGGACGCGTCCGAGCTCGACCGCATGGTCGACGGAGAGGCGGGATCGAGCAGCGTGCTGGTGGTGGGGCTGGTGATTCCGCTGACGCTGTTCGTGTCGCTCAAGCCGCACATGGCATCCAGGCTGCCGAGTCTATGCACGTCTGTCGACATGCACTTGTCCAGCAGGCACAGGTCGGCCCAGCTACACACGCACGACTTGAAACCGCACCTGCTGCAGCTGGCCTCGTTCAGCAGCGGCACGCCTTCGACCACCCTAGTGGGCTGGACCGCCGGCTCGGGCGGCACGCTCGTCAGCTCATTCGCGGCGGTGCTCATGGCCTGGTAGTCCGAGAGACCCAGCACGACGTCCGCCCACGCTTGCTCGTCCACCTCGCTCATGCCGCTACCCAGCACTGCGTCCAGCACGCCCGCGTTCGACACGCCTTGCACCGCGGCGTCGCCTACATCGTGCATGGTCGAATCCTCCACGTCGGCCAGCGTGGCTTGCTCGGACTCCTGCGCTTCTACTCGCGATGGCTGCGGCGCATCGTCGTGCACCTCGGCGTGGCTCGGTGACGGCTCGTCGTCGTCCGAGTTCATGCATGAGACGATGGTCAAGGCGAGCTGCATGAGCTTGTCGCGCGCCGTGCCGTCGGTCATTATCTGCTGCACCAGTGACTCCATTGCCGCATTCGTCGACCGTCGTGCCCGGACCAGCGCCCTGCCCGGCTCGGCTGCAGCGAGAGCCGGTTCGTCGTCGTCGCAGCTGCCACCCCTGCTCCTGTTGCTGTTGCTGCTGCTGCTGGTGTTGGTGCTCTTGGTACCGGTGGTCCGGCTTGCCAGTGCAGGTGCACAGCTGGAAGCATTGGAGGGAAGAGCCTTGTCGCGCAGCGACAACGACGCGCCGAGCGCCTTGCCGTTGCACACGCGCTCGAGCGTCTCGATCTCGGTCTTGTGGCGCTTGTCGGCGCTCAGCTGCCGGATGATGCGGTGGTACCGGTTGCGGCACTCGGCGTTGGTGAACATGGGCAGCCACAGCCGCCGCACCTGCGCCCATCGCTTGCCGTGCCTGTCGATCGTCAGTTTACCGAACCCCAATCCGAGCGTCATCAAGCTAGGATCATGCACCCTCGATGCACGTTTTGCTTGGCGAGCCACTTACTTAATGACAAAGTCGAGCAGGATCCGGTCCCTCTCCTCGTTCCAGTCCGCACCCGAACTGTTTCGCGCCGACAGGCAGAGCAGAGGTGATCGAATAAGCCACGCATTGGTCGGAAGAACGTTCCCTAAACAGAATGAGGCGTGACAGGGGCGAGGGCTGGGCAACTCACCTGAGCACTCGCCAGCGCGACGAGCACTGGTCGCCCGTCCGGCTACCGACGTGCTTGGCGATCTTGGCCCACTGTCCCATGTGGCTCTGCATGCCCTGCTGCAGCAGCTTGTCTTCCGCCGGCGTCCAGCTGCCGCGAGAGATGAGCGGACACAGGCTGCTGTTCCACCGCTTTCGGCACTGTTGTGGTCACACACACACACACCCAAGAGGTGTAAACAAGAGCGAGAACGTTGGCTTGTGGTGGGAAAGACAAGCTCGGTGTTTGGCACGGTGGGATGCGCCTCCATGCCACGGCTGCTACTTACGTCTTTGGAATTGCGATCGCCAAAGTGCTGCGCAATGCTCACCCAGTCCGTCTGGCCAGACTTGGAGCCGCTCTTGTCGAGGCTGCCGCGACGGTCTGAGACCGAGATGCGATGAAGACGATTCGGGATGGTCAGTAGGCGGACTTGGATCGGAGAGAGCTTCGTTCAGGTGTTCAGGCAATGACTTACTCTGCATCAGCTTGGTCAGGAGCGCATCTTCGCTCTGCGTCCAGTTGCGCTTCTTGGGCGCCGTGTCGCTGGTGGCTGTCGGTATGGATTCGAGGATGCCAGTAGAGCGAACCATGGTGTCATGTGCGTGTTGGGTCGGATCGACTCAGAAGCACAAACGAAGAGACGATGTGGTGGGACTTGTCGAGGTCTATAAGGAGCTGTAGAATCAACCAATGCTATACTGGACAGCTCCACGCGGGGGGG